AAGAGAGAAGGGGACCTATTGGGCAGACTGTCCAGAGGAAGCCGGTTGCCAAAGGACTTGAGGTGCAAATGGCCCCAGGAAGCTCAAACATGCTCACGGCAAATCAGTGTTCCTTAACTACACTACTTAGCTGGACCGTCTAAAATATTAGGAACATTTCATCCCAAAAAGAGGCACCCCGGCTTCTTCCTGGTACCTATTTCCTAAGGTCGTTCTTCTCTTTTGCTGGGCAGAACATCAGACACAGGGCAAGGGTAACCTCTTAGAAACACACCTGATGAAATAGGCTGATGAAACCACTGTCTGTTAGAGGCCCATCTGTAGCATAAGCAGAAAAGCATCATACCTTGCCCTCCTCCCTGGTTCTGCAAGGTAGGTGGAAGGCTGTAGCTTTTAATCCTTCCCACCTTGTGGGGTGAGGGTGGTGTGTGTGCCTTAGTGGTGTCACACTGCATATTCTGTACCTTTCAGGGACTTGGTCTGAACCCTTCTCTTCCCCCCCATGCTGCTACTTTTCCCTGGATTGGATCCAGATGTATTTATTTTTGAAGATTCTTATGCCTCATAATCTAAACCACTGGATAAGTGGCTTAGGTATTTCGCTGTGGAGCCAGAGGTTGGGAACTCTGTTCCCCAATGTGCTTCCTTGACAGGGACTGGGCTTTATGATCCATAGAGTCCCGTCCAGCTGTGCAGTTCTAAGATTATGATGAGTATTAAATTGTCAAAGCATTTTTCTGCAACAATACAGAAAAATATACACGATCCAAGTTCTATACACCATAGGATTTTGCCAAACAATACTGGGTAGGTTTGCAAACAGAGCATAGCTTATTTATTCTCAGAACAGATCCACTGAAATGACTAGCTGTTTCCTTAAGGGCTTTATTTTTATGTACTCGAGCAATGATGACATCTGGATTGAACCCATTGTTTATCACAAGAGGAACAAGGAACATTCATATCTAGAAAGTCCTTCTCATTAGCCAACAAAGCTGATACTTAAGTCATCCAATTGGAATTGCTGCAATGACTGGATATCCCAGACCAGCTTTCCCCAATCTGCCGTTCTCCGGATGTGTTGGACTACAATTCCCATCATCCCAGCCAGCATGGGCCCCTGCTGATGGTGATGGAAAGCTGTTTCAGAAAGCTATCCAGTTGAGGAAAGAGTCTACCAGAAAGCCCTCCTCTAAACCCAAAGCGTTTTCGCATTTTGCATGTGTCAAATGAGTAGCTGTGTGTTTTCATTGATTTCTTCAACTGAAATGAGTTGCAGATTATCCTTGTTCTCCTGGTCAGTCAAAAAGGATGCAGCTGGTATTGGATTGGACTACACTCCCATTGAAAAAACATGTATGCAGCTTGGGGATGCTCCTGGACTCATCCCTGAGCCTGGATACCCAGGTCTTGGCAGTGACCAAGAATGCTTTTTGCACAATTTAAACAAGTGTGACGGCTACATCCATTTCTTGAGAGATCTGATCTAGCCACTATGATACACACCCTAGTTAACTCTTGGATTACTATAATGTGCTCTATGTGGGGCTGCTGATGGAAAGCATCAGGAAACTTCAATGGGTCCAAAATGCCCCGGATTGCTGACTGGGGCGTGTTACAGGGATCACATAGCCCCCCCCCCCATTACAGCAGCTCCACTGGCTGCCGATCAGTTACCAGACACAATGCAAAGTGCTGGTTTTAACCTACAAAGTCCTAAATGGCCTGGGTCCAAGCTATCTCACAGACTGGATCTCCCATTATGAGCTGGCTCCAACATGAAGATCATCAGGAGAGTCCTTTCCTTTGGTCCCGCCACCTTCAAAGGTGTGTCTGATGGGGACAGCTTTCTCTGTTGCTGCTCTCAAAATTTGGAAGTATCTCCCTCAGGAGGCCAGGTTGGCCCCATTTTTGCTGTCCTTCTGCAAACAGGCAAAGACCCTTCTCTTCAGGCAAGCCTTCCCTCAACAACTAGCTACCTGTGTGTGATTTTTACTAACTGCTATGCATTTTTAGTAATTTTTAGTAACTGCTATGCATTACAGCTTTGACTGGATTTTAATACTACTTGTGCTTTCCATTTTTGTGTTTGCCATTTCACAGAGTGGCTTTCAAAACATTTTTGTCTACTTATTGGGTACTACTTGTGCTTTCCATTTTTGTGTTTCCCAGTTCACAGAGTGGCTTTCAAAACATTTTTTGTCTACTTATTGATCTTGCCTTAATATTGCCTGTTAATGATGTAAGGTGCCTCTTTATTCATTGTTCATAATTTTAAATATTGTCTTTTAATGATGTTAACCACCATTGTATACTCATTGTTTTCAACTTTAAATATTGTATTTCATTGTTGTAAGCCACCTTGAGTTCTTTTCAAAGAGAAAGACAGAGTAAACATATTTTAAATAAATACATATTGTCCACAGATTCATGAACAGTAAGTTGTGACACATCAAAGTGAACATGCTGCTATCTGAGAGGTGGAACACCAAGCTAACAGTAGTAAGGGCAAGTGTCTGTGTCTTTGGGACTTGTTAGGGTTATCCTTAGTGGCCCCCAGGGCCTCTGAAAGGAGCAGGGCTCACTATGGGATGTGGGACTGCAATGGAGTTCAGAAAAATCAACTGACTGGTATGGCTGTGAAAATGTAATTCAGGAACAATGTCATTCTAGTGTAGTGACTGCATAGACACTTGTCTTTGCATATAAACATATACAGTATTCCACGAAAAATGGCACTAAAGAGATTGGTATTCTCAGCACTATTACTGTTTTTTCCTATCAGTACAGTACAGTTCAGCCCGGAACACCAGGACAATGGGTTGCCACATTTAAGACCAAGAAAACACCATTTCATAATTTCATAACACCATTTCAAAATTTCAGTTTTCTTTTTATTGTCAAAGTAAATATATTTTATGAAGAACAAAGGAAAAATATACAGAATTGTAACTTTATGTACAATGGCTTTAAAGATATCCTTTTGTTTCCAATTTACAATTTTTCCATGTGTTATTACAGGATATTTTATATAAATGTGCAATATGTACAGTTTTATTTACATACATTCATAGGATGTGAATTTTTTTAAAAAAACAGTCAACAGAAGAGAGATTCATTTATACTTCTTTCTAGAGGACAGAAGGAATGCATTCCTACAAGAAGGTCATGGATCTGTTGCTCTTAAATGGCAACCAAGCCTCCATTTTGACTTATCAATACTAGAATTGTAGTGTTCTATTTCCCATTTGGCTCACCAGAAAAATAAAAATAAAATAAAATGGGGGAAAGGAGGAACAGACAGGGCTTAGCCCAAAAGAAGTTCATTGCAACCAAATCTCATTGAAAGCAATAGGGCTTACTTTCTGTAAGCCTGTCCCATTGCTTACAATGGGATTGGTCATACTTCATGCCTGTATTTCCCCATAGACAGTATCTGGGATCAAAGAGGACTTGCTACCTCCTTTGTTTAATTCTTTTAAATCTTCTCTTATTATCAGATCCTATATTGCTAGATAGCTTTGTCCTATTAACAGACTACAAAAAGGGAGAGGGTAAATGTTGCCTAAAAGGATAATTTTGCATCCAGCGTCTGGTTATATGTATATATTTTAACTTATTATATATATCTATATATATATGTAACATGAATATATTTTATATCTTTCTCCATATAAAATATACTCATTCCCTTCTTTAAGTCCTTACCATCTACCAAGCTGGCTAGCTAGAACACCAGATGCCCTAATTGCATTGCTCTCCGAATAGTGGCCTATGGGGATACTCTACATTTGGCTACCACTTGCCATCTAAGGCTCCAAAAGTGCGTTCACAAAACATTCACTAAGTCTTAAGTCTTCTTATCCCAACAGTTTGAGCAAGGATTTTGTTCCACTTTGTAAACATGGGAAATGGGCCCGGCATATTCACAGAGCTTGGGAAGCTACTTTTTAAAAGTAATTATAGTTCTAAAAGGCTCCATAGAATAATGAATTACTGCCATCGTTGCAATTGGAAGCATCTCTCCACTTCACTTGCCTGCTTCTCAAGAATAACCGAAATAGTTGCCATTTTTGTTACCTGACAAGAAAACATCTGAAATCATTAGGCTGTGATTAAAAACATGGTCTCCTTCCATTCACCTTGTTGTCACATCAACACCCAAAACAGAGCACAAGGCAGGAACATAAGCCATCACTGGAGCCATGTGACAGTCCTTCTAGACTATTTTGTGAAGATACACCCCATAACTAAAAGGTAACTTTTAAAATTACCATTAGTTTGCAAAAATAGTGAAGTTATCACTAGTTAGGTTGTCAATGTAAGGTCATGTAGTTATACCTTCATTATTTAAGAAGTAATTGGTTACGAGTAATGAGTCATTCGTAACAAGTTAATGCCAAGCTCTGTTCATTTAAGCTCCTTTAGGGGAAAATCCTATGCTGCCAGTATTACAGCCGTCATCATTAGAAACCATATAAAGATGACAGTGAAGCTTTTTTATAGGAGGTATGTCCAGGTGATTGTAGTAGGAACACAAATTCTTTGTCCTTCTCCTTGACTTTTCCTCCCTTCCATTGCCAATGTTTGTCTTCAACAATCCAGTATGGTCTCATTGCAATGTCAAGCAGTGGAGCTGAGAGAGAATCGGGCAGTCTGGGATGAAGTATGGAGGTCAGGAGCCAGTAAATGATGAGTGAAGGGACGGAACATTTGGTGCAGAAGTGCCAAGAAGCTTAACAAACGAGCAGGCTTTACACAGGAATTGGGGGAATCTGACAGTCTCTTCTCAAAACAGAATTCTGGTTCCAGAAAGAACACAGTATTCAGACTAGAAAATGAGACTGACCGGTTGGCAGAATTTGGCGGAAATAACTTTCTGAACATATCTGTGAAGATTCTGTCATCCAGGTGAGGTTATCTGGAGGTTGAGTAATGGCAACTGGACTTCTTTCTTATTAGGTTGAAACGTTTTCACTATTTGATTGAAGAAGCTACTTGAATGAGTAGCGAAACGTTTCAATTTAATAAGAAAGAAGTCCAGTTGCCATGACTCAACTGCCAGATAACTTTCTGGATGCTACAGCTCCCAGAATCCTCCCGCTCACACGGCCACTAGCATTCAGGCGCAGGTAGTGGTGCTGTAGTAGTATCTGGATGCTACAGTTTCCTAAAAGTCATTTTTCCAGCCCCCCCCCTTATTGCAACGTGCATAGCACTGCATTCCCACACACATGCACAAGACTTTGTCTTTCTGCTCTTTTAATAGCTCCCACAGATCCCTAGCTGATGAACACCACCATAGCAAACAAACAAACAAAATGTACACACACATACACACAGGATTTGTTTCCACATCAAAAGGAATTTGCTGTTTCCAAACTGGACAATTAGGCCAACTTAAAACAATTTAAAAAAATAAAACAAACCTTCACAATGAATAGCCCTATACACGAGCAAAGCCCTCAGGAATGCCAGAACTATAATTAACTAGCAGCGAGGAGCCCATCAATTATCATGGTGCAGGAGAAAACAGCTAAATATAAAACACCGGGATTTTCAAAAAAGCAGCAATAGCAACAGCAGGAAGGAAGAGAATGAAAAGAAATAAGGCCAAGTGGTAGGTGGCAACAAAGAAGATGCACGTGGTGCATGTGTGAGGTCATGGCATCAGACATTACGGGGAGATGAATAAATTATCACAATAAGGTTGCTTCACGAGAACGATGCTGAACAAAGGGCTGCCGACACCTATTCTTGGACAAACAGGTGAAAAGGCAGAGGCAGGAAGACACCTCAGTTCACTGCGCGCATAGAGCGGCTGCTTCTAGGAAATCGGTGGACTTTGACATGCTTGGACAAGTGGTCACTTCGAGCAAACTTCTTCTCACACACAGGACATTGGTAAGGCTTCACTCCCGAGTGGGAGCGCCTATGCCGAGAAAGTTCATCAGATCGAGAGAACCTGAAAATAGAAAATATGAAACCGATCACTTTATTGCTTCCACCTTGGTAAATCACCAGCAGTACATGGGAAAAAAAAGAGAAAATACTGTAATGAGCATTTCTACCTCATAGCGACGGAGAACCTTTGGCCCTTCAGATGACTTAGACCACAATTGCCACAGTTCTCTGTTATTTGCTACATTGGGTGGGGCAGATGGAAGTTCTAGGCCAAAACACCAAGGGTGTTCTGTATCCTGCCTCTGTCACAGAACAAAGTTCTCTCCATACATTATTTCAATAATCCTTATAATAGGCCCAGAACTGAAGTGCAATGATTTTGTAGTTTCTTGAGAACCAGCTTTATAGTCTCTGTCTCTCTTTTTTTTCCACACAAATGTGCCGATTGTCAGATGTCCTTTTATTTCAGCTCTAACCAAGGTGAAAACAGAGTTTAGCCACCATGTCTGGGGGAAAAAATCTGACATTTTTCTTTTGTTTGCTCCCTACTACTGCAGAAAAAAAATGCTGTTTTTCTGAATTTTCTCTAAACTTTTTTTTTCCTACAGGAAACAAAACTAAACAAAACAATAGTAGCTGAGTTCTTCTTCCTTGTACTTGTTCATTTCTCTGCTAATGATGAGCTTCATCCTGAAAAGCTGTTGAATAATTCTGTCTTCCCCTGGAGAAATTTATTGAAGTAGTCACTGTCTCAGTCCACAAACAGGATGGAAAATTTCAAGCACAACTTGGAAAGTTACTTTGAGGAAGAGTAGGTGCTATGAAATGCTGAAGCCCTTTGTAACAAGGTCACAGAGCATCATCCTACCACTCACAGCACTGTTGCGAGCATCTCCAGCATGCCATTATATTCATCCCCCTTCAAAAGTCTATTTCTCAGCTCTGATTTCAAAAACCTCTTTGGACATGGAAGAGTCAAGGGTTCCTAACACACAAGTGAAAATGCAGCCCCTTTGAAGAGCAATGTCTTGAAGCAGTGTCAGCCAGATAGTAGTAAAGAGTGGCTACAGCTTTAAGAAGACCTAAGCCAGCATGACCATTCTCTTCTCTAATTCCAAGTATTTAAAACAACTTAACAAAGATGTCACTGTTTATGTATATCCGCTGATATTTATTTGTATAAGCAAAACAAGAAACGCTAAGTCCATTGGGATTTGCCTTTATGAAGAGCATATTCAGGAGATGAGGGGAATGTGCTTATCCAATGTATGTGTCATCTGAGCTATGGAAAGCAACATGAGTTAAGATGATAAAAATATATTTTACATCATAACTAAACTTGCAGTTGATCAGGTAACAATGTTGCTATGTTCTTGCCCAGCTTGCTCAGAACGATCGTCTTACAATACCCATAAAAATAAACTCAGTGGCCCGTATGTGTTTACAAAAAAAGAAGGAAAAAACAACAACAACCAAAAGCTATAGAGATAGAATTCTGCAAGCTGTTATGTAATATCTTAAAGTGTTCCACAAACTTGTCCTTATTCGTGTTGACTTGCTATTATGTCATGCAGTTTTGCATATTTGTAATGATACAAGGTAACTGTATTAGAAAGATAAATATACTGTACTAACAGATTGTTCTTGGAAAAACAGGCAGCAGTACTTTTTGACCCATGGTAGAAAATCCTCATCATTTTAGATCCTGGAGTTCTCAGCAGAATAACAACAATGAACTGAGGAAAACTTCTACTGATGGAAGCCATTCTGTCAATAGAACCAGGAGGGTGAGATTCTCTCTACCACAGGCTTTCAATGGGACTTTCTCCTCTTTTTGACCCCCCTCCAGCCCCTTGCACCTTGCAAAATTCTGCTAGGGAGCTTTTTCTGGCCTACTGGAAAAGGTGGCAGGGGGAGGGGGGAATCTGTCCACCTTGTTCCACTGACAGACCTGTTTCCCTCAGTGGGATCCCAGCCTGTATCTGGAAACGGAGACAAAACATTTTCCTCATTTGACATCACAATGCTTTAGATATTCTAAATCAGGTGTGGGCAACTGTGGCCTTTTCGCCCTCCCTAAAACTCCTATCTGCCCTATATTGCCAATAGTCAGAGACCGACTGTTCAAAAACAGCTGAAGAATCACAATTGTATATCATTTTCTAAACCAAAAAAGTATTTGAGTGGGATGTAAGTATGCTAACCTTTTTTAAAAGAAAAATGTCCATTTAATGGTTATTCCCTATTTGCAGGGAACCATAGCTCATATTTCCTTGCTCTGACCACCCTTCAGGATATATGGAAATGGTTTTGGCACTATTTAGGTCTTACTGTTATTCAACCAGATCCCATTACAGTTTTTGGTATATTATGTAAGATGAATCAAGAAACAACATTCCCTTTGGGCCATGTACTAATGGCGAGTTTGGACTGTGGAATTGTAGAGCAGTGGTTCCCATTCTTGAGTCCCCAGATGCTCTTGGACTACAACTCCCAGAAATTCTAGCCAGCACAGCTAGTGGTGAAGGCTTCGGGAAGTTTTAGTCCAAGAACATCTGGGGACTCAGAGACAGCATTAATCTGATTCTTTGCAAAGCATTACATTTGACATTACATTTGACATGACAGTTGCTGGGGAGAAAGATGACTACAACTCCCAGAAATTCTAGCCAGCACAGTTAGTGGTGAAGACTTCGGGGAGTTTTAGTCCAAGAATATTTGGGGACTCAGAGACAGCATTAATCTGGCTCTTTGCAAAGCATTACATTTGCCTGCATGACAGCTGCTGGGGAGAAAGATGCATGAAAATGAAAATGGATGGACTCTCGCTTTCTGAAGCAGCTCTATGAATGAATTGACCCAGAGGAAAGAGTTCCGTGATTTGTGCTATCTTGGTGCTTCTGGGGTAATATGGATGAAATTATCCATCACCCCTGAGCAATAATATCTTGGATTAGCAAATAATCTAAACCCTCTGCAACATTTCTATCACATCCATTTCTCGATCCAGGACAGGTTTGTTAGAACGTCCTAGAATTTGTCCTGGTGTTCTCTTTGGGGCTGAGAAACCAAGGCCGGTCTACCTTCTCAGAGTCTAGGCCTCTAAACAGTGGTTGATTCTCCTTTCTCCTTGCTCTATGTGTTCAACATGTATCGGAATGTAGAAGGGCTAGAAGTTTTATTAGAGTTTGGTTAGTGTTTACTCTGAAAAGGCCTCCAGGGTTTTCCAGCACATTGTTACTACAGTCTCATGGAAAACGTGAAAGTGTGTGGCATAAATACTCCATCACTCCTGAGCAATAATATCTTGGATTAGCAAATAATCTAAACCCTCTGCAACATTTCTATCACATCCATTTCTCGATCCAGGACAGGTTTGTTAGAACGTCCTAGAATCCGTCCTGGTGTTCTCTTTGGGGCTGAGAAACCAAGGCCGGTCTACCTTCTCAGAGTCTAGGCCTCTAAACAGTGGTTGATTCTCCTTTCCCCTTGCTCTATGTGTTCAACATGTATCAGAATGTAGAAGGGCTAGAAGTTTTATTAGAGTTTGGTTAGTGTTTACTCTGAAAAGGCCTCCAGGGTGTTCCATCACATTGTTACTACAGTCTCATGGAAAACCTGAATGTGTGTGGCACAAATACCATTTAGGAACCACAATATTAATACAATGGTGAAAATCCTATTGCTTAGCATAGTAAATTGCACTGGATGCCTACATTGGATCAAAGGGGATTAGGTGTATAAACTCCTCCATAAATTTTATTAGTTCAAATGGACATACTCTATCTTCAAATGACTTTAACATAGTTAATTGCAGTTAAAGTAGGCCCATTTAAATCAAGAGGACTTACAGAGGAGTTGATGCAACAAATCAACATTGGTTCAATGGGCCTAGGTAAAGGTAAAGGTTTCCCTTGACAAATGTCCAGTCATATCCAACTCTAAGGCGCGGTGCTCATCCCCTTTTCCAAGCCATAGAGCCAGCGTTTGTCCGTAGACAGTTTCCATGGTCACGTGGCCAGCGCGACTAGACACAGAACACTATTACCTTCCCACCGTGGTGGTACCTATATATCTACTTGCAATTGCATGCTTTTGAACTGCTAGGTTGGCAGGAGCTCGGACAAGCGACAGAAGCTCACTCCGTCACATGGATTCAATCTTACGACTACTGGTCTTCCAACCTTGCAGCACAGAGTCTTCTGCAATTTTAACCCACAGTACCACCATGTCCTGTGTTCAACAGGCTACTCTAGTGCAATTTACTATGCCAACTGGCAGGATTTTGACCAATATTTTTCTACTCCTTACAAAGGTTTGATAATAGCAACAACAACAGAGGCCATGATTCTCATACACCTGGATCTAAATATGAAAGGCATCCAGAATCATGGCTAAATACCAAAAACCCAACTTTTCACTTAAATTGTGCAAAGGCAACACACAAATATTGACTAGTCTTTTGAGTTCCAAGGACTGTTATATAAAAATTTAGGTGTCATGTCCTAAAATATCAAGGGTGTAGCTTTAAATATCAGTTTCATAGGTCACATACCAACCATGGAATTGGATATTTGCATTTCAACCTGAGATCTGAGTTCAAGTATGTGAACTGCAGCAAATTCCAAATTGGATTTTTGAATGCAGAATTAATTTAGAAATGTGATTATGGCATCTTGATAACAACTTCAACCAAACTCTTTCCTAATTCTACAGCTCTATTGCATCTGATATTTACTTAGTGCTTCTTCCTGAGTTGCAGTTAACATTCTTTTATAGAACTCTGTCAGTTTCCCTTTCCACCATAGGCAATATTAGTATACAGGTGAGCATTCTGATACACATTCACGTAAAGGAAATTTAGTACAAATGATGTGTATCAGACCTACACAATTTGTCTCTTGAGATGAGGTGGGGGGAGATTATTTGGACATCTGCTGTGAAGGATCTGAATGTTAAGATCCTTGAGGTGGAGTGTCATTCATGTTGCCCCATCAGCAAGTTTTAAGAAATCATGACAAATCTTTCCTTCCTCAGGGAGACATTTCTTGTCTGGCTGCA